GCAAATTTTATGTTACATATATCTTGCCAAGATTAAAGCAGAAAGTAAAAGATGTCTCTGTCAAGATGCTGTCATTCCAGAAACCAGAAGAAAAAAATAATTGAAAAGAGAGCCTGTGGGGTAGTCATCTGTGTTTGGAGAAAAGTCATGCAGGGAAAGGAGGTTGTGACAGATAGGGGAGAGTTTCTGGGTCTAGTGGAGGAGATGATGTCTGGGTAAAGACGTAGAAGAGGTGAGGAAGCAGCTCTGTGTCTGCCTCAGAAAAAAGTCTCCCAGGAGGAGGGAAAGGGAACAGGAGTCAGGGCTCAGAGGCAGCAGCCGGCTTGGGCATAATGGACATGCCCACAGGCCCAAATCTGAGGTAGAGGGAGGCAGGAAGAGAGAGTAGTGGGGAGGACAGTGCAGATTGCATGGGGCCCTAAGGCCTCGCAGAAACCTGGAGGGTAGTGGACCTGGTACCCACTGGAGAATGTGTGCCCCTTATCTATCCTCCCTCCCTCTTACAGCAGTGTCTGGCGCTGTTGTTCCCACCTGAATGCTCAGGTGTCCAATGGTCAGGGCCTGCTTATGAGTGAGAACTTGCAGTATTCCGTTTTTTGTTTCTGTGATAGTGTTGATAGGCTATCCTTGAAGTTGAAGAGAAAGACAAGGAGGAGAAACAGAAGCCAATATTTCTCCCGAATGCCTCTTCCCAGATGGAACTGGGATCTCCCAGCACATCTAACATGGTGACCATCTCACTCCAACCTGGAGCCCCTGCTCTGTGTGATCAGTCCCCTCTGCAGAGCTGCAGTCATCTACAACGTCAGGGCTTAACTCTGCATCAGCACCACAGAAAGCGCCACCACTCTTGCCTGGGTATTCTCAGGAGTCAGAGTCTGTCCCCGGCAGAGGGAGCATCCCCTGTGGACAGTGCCTGGGCCTGCCTGGGCAGAGGTGGGTGGTCACATACAGAGGGCAGAACTCAGAAGCTGCTGAGGGTCTGCGGTATCATGGGAGGGTGAGAGGGATTGGAGCACAGTCCTCGAGTCAGGAATTCCAGGATTCTGGGAATCTACATCCTGTGACTGCCTAATCCCAACCACGTCCACTCGTCCGCTCCCTCCTGAGAACTCCCTTTCCACTCCAGAAGAGCAATACCTCATCCTCAGTCTGTGTCTCCCCCACCACAGCCACCTGCCCTCTGGCCTTGGGAAGGTCAGGTGACTTGTCTGTCTCCCAGCCAGATGTTGCTCTCCTCAAAGGCAACAAGGCTGGGTCTGTCCTTCTCATCATTGCTGGACACCTTGAGGCACAGCAAGGATTCTAGACACCTGGATGGTGAGTGAATGAATGCATGAAGTGTCTTCTCTCATCTATCAGAGATTTGACAGTTCTTCCTTCTAAAATCAAAACAATCCTCCCCTCTCCAGCCCTGTCGATCCTGCATAGACAAGAGAGATGACGTGGCCCCTGGGCAGCCCCCAGAGCATGAGACAGGGCGCTTGTGTGGTTGGGGGAAGTCACCTGCCATCTCAGTCCACTCAGGCTGTGATAACAAGACACATAGAAAGGTGGGGAAGACCAAGATCAATGTACGGGCTGATTCAGTGTCTGGTGAGAGCCTCCTTCCTCACAGATAGCTCCTTCTCCTGTCCTCATGTGGTGAAAGAGGACACACGCTCCCTCAGGTCTGTCTTATAAGGGACAAATTCCACGAGGGCTTCACCATCATGACCCAGTCACATCCTAAAGACTCCAAGTCCTAATACTGTCACCCTGGGGGTTAGAATTTCATCTTATGACTCACACAATTAGATCATGGCACTTGCCACTCTGAAACTTCGTGTCTTCTTCTGCAAATTGGGAAAGGGGGCTAGAGGGACTCTAACTTTCCCAGGTGATAATTGGGTAAGCAGTTCCTCTTTTGCACACAGTTAGCTTCTCTGTGGCCCTTCTGTGTCTCCCCTTCCCATTTTTCTGTTTTCTCTGCAAACCAGGAACCCCAGCACACTGAGGAGCCATGGCCCAGCCCTTCTGACCATTGAGATACAGCAAGTTCCCCTACTGTAAGAGAGGTATTGTGCAAGGATGGGGGCCCCAGGAGGCCACAGAATTCAAGGCAGCGTTCTCAAATGATAACTGAAAAGCAGGGAGGCAGAGAGCATTAATGTGATGCTGCATTTGAGGTAAGATAGACAAGTGGGACCTCATCAAACTGAAAATCTTCTGCAAAGCAAAAGAAACCATCAACAGAGCAAGAAGACAGCCTGTAGATGGGGAAAAATATTTGCCAACTGCATATCTGATAAAGGCCTACATCCAGGATCTACATGGAACTCAAAGGTGCCAAAGGAAAAAAAACAAACTGTCCTATTAAAAACGAGCAAAACATATAAATAGACACTTCTCAAAAGATGCCAACAGATACATGAAAAATGCTCAGCCACACTAATCATCAAAGAAGTGCAAATTAAAACCACACTGAGATATCACCCAACTCCAGTCAAGATGGCCGTCATCAATAATGCAAAAACCACAGATGCTGGAGAAAATGCAGGGAAAAGAGAACCTGTCTACACTGTTGGCGGGCATGTAAGCTAGTACAATCTCTGTGGAAAACAGTGTGGCAATTCCTAAAAGACCTAAAAATCGACCTTCCACAGGACACAGCAATCCCCTTTCTGGGAATATAGTTGAAGGAACTCAGGTCATTCTATAAAAAAGATAACTGCACACGCATGTTTATTGCAGCATTATTCACAACAGCAAAATTATGGAACAAACCGTGCAACCCACTGAAAGTGGATTGAATTTTGAAAATGTGGTACATATACACGAAGGAATGTTATGCAGTCATCAAGAAGGACAAACTTATGGACCTTGCAGCAACTTGGATGGATTTGGAGTCTATCATACTCAGTGATCTATCACAGACACAAAGAACTGAATGCCACATGTTCTCACTTATAAGTGAACCCTGAACATTTATCATAATACTGCAAGAAAGGGATTGGCAGTAGCAGGATGCTGCTGGGGAGGGTAGGGTGGAGGGCACATAACATCAGTAAGGGTACCTGATCCCAAATCAGGTGAAGTGGGGTCCAAGAGGAGGCCCAAAGTTTACTTGTACAATGACCACTTATCTACCTGATCCTGAACTGTACCCCACATCTTTAAAATAAAATATAACATTAAAAAAGAAAGTGAGGCTGGGGACTCCTTAGGGGAATTGGAGTGTGTCCCCTAGGAAAGGGAACAAAGTACATGCAAGGTTGTATTTTTTGAATACTGTTCACTTGTGTAAATCACTGAGCTGTTCTTTTGGGGGCACTTTATTTTTTTCTCGATTTTAAGGATGTGAGGGACAATTCAGGTTTAGGTATACGAATGTTCATTATGCAGGACCCTTGTTGATAAGGTGTGCCCCTTCCTCCCCTGGCAGTTTCCCTCAACTGCAATCCCACCCCTCCTCCCTTGGCAGTTTCCCACTACTGCCAATTCCTTTCTTATAGTATTATGATAATTGTTCAAGGGCCACTTATGAGTGAGAACATATGGTACTGTATTCTTTGTTTCTGTGATAGATCACTGAGTGTGATCAACTCTAAATCCATCCAAGTCGCTACGAAGTCCATATGTTTGTCCTTCTTTATGGCTGCATAATATTCCATTGTGTAAATGTACCACTTTTAAAAAATCCAGTCCAGCTTTGATGGGCAGCAAGGTTGGTTCCATATTTTTGCTATTGTGAATAGAGCAGCAACAAACCTGCATGTCCAGGTATCTTTTTGGTAGAATGACTATTGTTCCTCCAGGTATATTTTTTTGGGGCCCTTTAATCCTGATAGCTTCTATTAATCCAGCAAAAGGTTCAAGAAAACCTGATGTGGGTCTAAGGAGGCCCCACCTCCTAGCATCCTGCCTTCCCAGCTTAGCCACACAGTTTAAAAAATCTGCTGAATTCAGAGGCATGTTTCTCCTCCCATGAAATCCTGATACCTGAGGGGACAGCCCCAAAGCTGGTGTCCTTGTTCCATGTCTCCTGTCTACCTGGGCTTCTGGACTCCTGGGAAAGAACCTGTAGGAGCAAAGCCCTGGGATCGGCAGAACCATCATGCTCTAGAGTGACCAGGGGACGTGTGTCTTAGTGACTTGACAGTGGGAAAGAAATCCCACCTGGTGACCAGAGAGCTGTAAAGAGACAGAAATGCCCACCTTTTCAAAACCTGCCCCTTCCCTGTGAATTTTGTCCCTTCATATCCCACTGCATGATATTCAAAGCCTTAAGTTCCCAAGCCTCCTGTGACCAGGTTTCTCTGTTGTCCTTGGTGATTGTTGATACATGGAACCTTCAGCTCCACAGCCCTGTGACCCCTGCTCAGTCCTCCTGAGACCCAACCTCCAGCCTCCAACTTAGGGATGAGCCCCCACCCTGACTGTGTGCCCCCCACTGAAGTTCCTGTGGTGGGAGATTAGATGTCAGGAGACTTATCTCCCACTGGATGGTGACTCCTTGGGGACAGCATACAGGGCTGGTGGGTTGACCTTGTGTAAAGGGGATGCCCACTTCATGGACATTGGGGGAGAGAGCAGAGGTTGCCTGTTGCCCCACTTGGGCCCCATCCCTCCTGACTCTCACCTTCAGCAGGCCTAGGAGTCCCAGGGGTCTGGCCAGATGGGACCTATTTTCACTTGCAGAAAATGTCATCCCATAGGAAGGACGCCGACAGGGAGGAAGGAGATGCAGGTCAGGCCCTGCACGGGGTGTGAATTTGGGTGAGTGTCTCATCCTATATGGGTTCCTGGAGTGGACGTGAGGTGGGAGACAGTTGATCTCCAAGGACTGACCTGGCCTTGATAGCATGTGGGAGTGAAGTTCCTCAACTGAGGAGGTCACTGCTCTGGCCTCGCCCCCAGTTTCCTGTGGGGCCTCCGCTGAGTCTTGAGCTCTTAGTTCCTGAGAGAAGAACCCTGAGAAATAGACTTTCCCCAGCAGCCCCGGCACCTCCCACCCCGACATGCTGCTGCTGCTGCTGCCTCTGCTCTGGGGGACGGAGGGGATGAAGAGAGGCTATGGGGATGGCTTCACGCTGAGTGTGCAGACGTCAGTGACGGTGCAGGAGGGCCTGTGTGTCTCTGTGCCCTGCTCCTTCTCCTACCCCCATAATGGCTGGACTGACTCTGACCCAGCTTATGGCTACTGGTTCCGGGAAGGGGCCAGTGTATACTTTGATGCTCCAGTGGCCACAAACAACCTATCTCGAGAAGTGCAGGAGGAGACCCAGGGCCGATTCCGCCTCGTGGGGGACCCTCAGGTCAACAACTGCTCCCTGAGCATCAGAGACGCCAGGAGGACGGATGAGGGGACATACTTCTTTCGGGTGGAGAGAGGAAATGTAAAATGGGCCTACAGCCCATATAAGAATTACAAACCTGACCAGGTCTCTTTGCGAGTGACGGGTAAGGCTCAGGCTCCAGGAGTGGCCACAGAGGAAAGTCGCGGGGCCACTAGGCAGGGTTGGAATGGGACCTCTTTGCTGGGAGAGGCTTGGGGTGAAGTGGGTCGGGCTCAGGGGAGGAGCTGGACCAGAGTCTGAATTTCTCCAGGTCCCACCTCAGATTCTCTCGCCTGATCCTGCATGTCCCCCTCTCCTCAACAGCCCTGACTCCCAATATCCTCATCCCGGAGATCCTGGAGTCCGGACAACCCAGGAACCTGACCTGCTCTGTGCCCTGGGCCTGTGAGCAGGGGACACCCCCCAAAATCTCCTGGACAGGAGCCTCTGTGTCTCCCCTTCGCCCTGCCAGTGCTGCCTCCTCTGTGCTCACCCTCATCCCGAAGCCCCAGGATCATGGTACCAACCTCACCTGTCAGGTGACCTTGCCTGGGGTCAATGTGACCACAAGGACTGTCCATCTCAACGTGTCATGTGAGTTTGGGTCAAGATGCCAAGATCCCTGTTGGGGGGGTCCCTGAGGGCAGTGGTTTGGGGGTTATGGCTGGACATGGGCTACTGGGTCCCAGAATCCGGGCTCGGAGAGTTCGTCAGGAGGACACTGGCTCCACCTTCCCTGACTATGCAGCTCCTGGGAGAGAGGGCCAGTGCCCACCCCCCACACATTGATGTAGTTCTGTCATGTCTTTCTGTCATGTCTTTAAGACGCTCCTCAGAACTTGACGGTGACTGTCTACCAAGGAGATGACACAGGTAGGATAGAGCCCCATCCTTGTGTGGGGGAGCATGGCCTTGAGCTCAGGGGAGGGCACCTTCTCATCCTAGACTAACTTGGTCACCAGAGAGCCCTTATGGGTGAACACAAGACCCCTCCCCATCTTCAGTCTCTGTGGTCCCCTGAGCACCTGCCACATCCACCCTTCACTCCCCTCAGACTCCTTCACACGTAATCTCCTCGGCCTACAGCAAGGACAGGGTCATATTCACACAGCAGGACCAGCCTCGAGAGCCTCATCATCCATCTCCCGATCTTGCCTGTTGGCTTGGCTTTTATTTCTCCCAAGAGTTCTGATCTAAATCCTTCTGGGCATGTGAAGGAGTCACATGGGCTAAAATCCAAAATGCACTGCAGAGTCTGTCCCCAGATGCCCATCCCCCTCCCCAGAATCCACCTGTGTCCATCCAGGCTGCTCTGAGCCTTGGTGTGTTCACCAGAAGGATCTCAGAGGCTGTTTGTGGCATCTTCTAAGGGGACATCATGGCACTAAGTTTATCCCACCACAGAAACACTGTAATGAGTTATCTCGTATCTCCTTTCACATGGAATGTCTAAGTCAGTGGAACTAATTCCTAAAAGTACAGTAGGGTTATGTCTTTTGTTTGTTATAATTTTGAGTGATGTGGCCAAATTGTTCTCCTGAAAGGTGAACAGATTGACGTACCCAGCAGTGAGTGGTGATAGTGTGTGTTTCCTGCCCTTCAGACTATGTCTGTGTGTCTGCCTTCTTATCTCATTTCTGTATATTTCTTCCTTCTCTCTGTCTCTCTGACCATCTGACCCTCTGTCTCTTTCTCGACAGCAGCCAGAGACCTGAGAAATGGCTCATCTCTCTCAGTCCTAGAAGGCCAGTCTCTGCGCCTGGTCTGTACTGTCAAGAGCAATCCCCCTGCCAGTCTGAGCTGGATCCTGGGTAACCTGACCCAGAACCCATCACAGTCCTCGAGTGCTGGGGTGCTGGAGCTGCCTCGTGTGCACCTTGGGGATGAAGGAGAATATACCTGCCGAGCTCAGAGCCATCTGGGCTCCCAGCACTTCTCTCTGAGCTTTTCCCTACCAAGTGAGTGCAGTGGTGTCAGGGGAGGGGCTGGGGAGAGAACACACCTGCCACCCTCACCATCCACCCAGCAGCCCCCGGACATCAGAGGGGAGCTCAGGTCTGGTCTGTGCTCAGCTGTGAGGCCTGGATGTTCACTGGACCTAGAGCATCCCTGTCCTTTTCCTGCTGGGCCAGGGGTATGAGAGGATGAGGGAGGAGGGGGGTCTTGAAGGGGAGGGGCTGGGGCCTGGTCAGGTGTGTCAAGGAGACAAGGTCCTTGCTTTGCAGGACTTTGAGGGAGAGAAATGTGAGACACTCGCTTTGGGCACCAAACTTTAAAAGTCAAACATAAAACAACTCAGGGAGTTAATGAAATAATATTGTGATTCATGATCTTTTATAAATTAAAATTGTAAAGTATCTCCACCGTGAAACAAGACCAAATCTGAAAGTAGAGATAGGAGCCCCCAGCTCTCATGCCTCACTGGCCTCACCTCGTCCCCTCCTCTCTCTCACCCTGTTCTCTATGTTTGGGGGGGGAGACAGAAGTCCAGGGCCTCCCAGAAAGCAGGAGGGGAAGAGACCTGGTCTTGGGGTGAGCCCCCTAACAGCTCCTGTCCACCCACAGGGGGAGTGTCACCTGTGTCTGGAGTGATGCTGAGGGCTCTCGTGGGAGCTGGAGTCGTCGCCCTGGTCTTCCTTTCCTTCTGTCTCATCTTCATCATGTAAGCATTGACCTTGTGGAGGGAGGAGAGTCCTATGGGAGGGTGGGTCAGGAGCAGAGTCCCTGGGTCAGAGCTGGAAGAACCCAGATGGGCCAAGAGTTTGAAGCAAGCACAGGAAACGGGTCACAGACGCAGTGAGAATGTCTCAAGGGCCCCTGGTTGTGGGACTTGGGACCCAGTCGGTGTGAACCTTGGGTCCCAAGTCCAGGAGGAGGAGCCTGTGTTCTCACCTGTCTCCCCTCTTGGTCCCTTTTCCAGACCCTTAATAGGAAATGGGGGGTGGTGTCAGTCTACCCACTGCACCCCAATCCAGCCAGACTGAAAGGGTCTCTGGTCTCTCACTCAGAGTGAGGTCACACAGGAGGAAGTCGGCAAGGCCAGCAGCGGGCAAGGGGGCTGCAGGCATGAAGGATGCAGTTGCTGTCAGGGGCTCAGCCTCTCAGGTGAGTGTCGTGGGTGTCTCCACATCCAGCCTCCAGCCTGGACACCTCCCACACGATGGCCCCCAGGATTGCTCAGTTAGGCATGGCTAAAGCATCTCTCCTCCTCCCCACAAGCTGCCTTCTCTCCAGGATTCCCCATTTGCTGACAGCAAGATGACAACTGCCCCATACCAGGCACAGTGGAGGAGTCCCCTCCTTTCTCTCCTCCCTTTCTTGTCTATAGTCCAGGTTCACCACATCTTGTCTGTTTCCCCCTTAAGATCTACAGCATCACCCCCCACTTTTCCCCAACCCACTTGTCGCTGAGGCTTCGGGATCTTCCCCTGGGATCTCCTCACCTCCCTGCCTTTCGCCTCTCCTTTCCCACCTGGGGGGACCTTCCAGAAGCCATCATTGTCCAGTTCCTCTGCCTCTGGATGGCTGTTCCCCACCCCACACTGTCCTGGTCAGAGGATGAAAACCCTTTTCTGTAGAGCCAGAGAGTAAAAGCTTTGGCTTTCTGGACTGTGCAGTCTTTGTTGTGGCTACTCAGCTCTGCTGTTGTAGCAGGAAGGCAGCCCTGGATCCTGTGGAAATGAGGTGTTGGTCTGTGTTCCAATAAAACTTTATTCACAAAATCAGGCAGTGGGTGGGACTCGACCCAAGGGCTGTAGCTTGATAATCCCTGACCTAGAGTGAAAATCCCAAACTCCTCAGCCCGTGGCCCTGCACATTCTGGTGTCTTAAGTGCCTGCCTCTCCAGTGGGATGGGAGTCAGGGTGAGGTAACTGAGGCTCTTGCCTCAGGTGCAAAATGTGTGGGGGTGTCGAAAATATTAGTAACTTAGACAATATTTCAATGCACGATATTTTTAATAACTAAAATTAATGAAAAGTTAATGATGTGAAAATATCAAAATTTTAAATAATGGCAGGATCAGTAATCTAAAGTTAGGAATTATCTAAGATCATGACTTAGTCAAGAGAAATTGTCAAGCAGGGCAGCATTTTCAGTCGAAAATCAGAGAAATAAAAAAGGACATTTTGAAAATATGATCTCTGCTTTGCTTGTTATAGATCCAAGAATACAGATGATAATAAATTTGCTTTGAGTATACCTAGAAATTGTAAACTTAAATGTTTTCATTCATATCATTTTTTAATTCATCAGTAGTATTTCAATTATTTTAATGTTCTGGAAAAAACTGACCTTTTACAAAACATAAAAACATATAAATAGGGACATATTGCCCCCCACCCCCGACTCTATTTATCTCAGCAGAACATTGTCACTAATCTGGGTTTAAAAATTTTTTTGTTCTCTGTGGATTTTTTGCATTAATTTTGATTTTTAAAATACGACATGAGCATATTATTCATAGCAATTAATGAGATTTCACACCCTTGGTTAACTTTGTGCTCTCTACGAGGTCCTCGCATTCCTCACCCCAGTCTCTGCCCTTCCTCCTGCTGCTTTTGATACTTCCTCTGTGTCCGTCCACGCTGCACCCTTCACTGTCACTACCAGAACAAGGTTGTTTGTGCCTCTGGCTCCCTGCATGGGCTGTTCCTCCCTCCTCAAATGCTCTTCTCGCTCCACTCCTCCACCTTCATTCTTGTTTATGCTTCATGCTCCAGGGTAACACCACACTCGCCATTTATCGACTGGATTCAGAGTGTGCCTGGAAGTCTGTTGGAAGGGTTTAAAGCAGCTGAGTAAACATTCGCCCTTTCATTCATTAATTCATTCAGGAAAAGTATGCGTACCTCGCAAGAGATGAACACTGTAGATGTTGGGGACCCACCTGTGGAAACATTAGAAATCTAGGGCTCATGAGGTTTTATTCTAGATGAGGGTTGTGTCCAAACTAATGGACCAAATAACCGACCAGACAATAAATAAACAAATACAGTGTAAACACAGAAATGCAATTTGGAAATATGCAGAGTTCAGAAAATAGGAAGCACTGAGGAGTAGCCAGTGGATTTATTTTTATCTATCTATCCTATTTCTATCTATCTATCTATCTATCTATCTATCTATCTATCTATCTATCTATCTATCTATCTATCCATCTATCTATCTAATTTCTTTCTTTCTATCTTCTTTCTTTCTTTCTATCTCCCTATTCTATTTCTGTCTCTACCATCTATCTATTTTTCTATCTCTGTCTCTATCAACTACCTATCTATTCTCTGTATCATATCTATCTATATATCTATCATCTATCTATCATTCTGTATCTATCTATATATCTATCTTTCAACTATCTACCTCTATCTATTATTTAATATTTATCTACCATTTATCTACCTATTCTATCTCTCTATCCTCTATCTATTGTCTATCCATCTGTATCTATCTCTATCTCTATCATCTATCATTCTATCTCTATCATCTATCTATCTTTATCTCTATCTATCTATCATCTACCTACTTATTCTATCTCTCTATCATCCATCATCTGTCTCTAGCTCTAACTATCATCTCTCTACCTATTCTCTCTATCACCCATCTGTCTATCTAATCTATCATGTATCTATTTATCCATCATCTATCATCTATCTATTCATTCACCTATCTATCTGGGTAAGAAAAAATGTGTGACATCTTAGCCATCGTTAAGTATATATTGTGCAAGACACTCTAGAACCTACTCTTCTTGCAAAACTGAAACTCTGTATCCATTGAGCAGCTCCCCATTTCCCCTTCTGTCCCCCTAGACCCTGGCAATCACCATTCTATTTTTTGTTTTGATGAATTTGATGATCCTAGATACCTCACAGAAGCGAAATCACAGTGTCTGTCATCTTGTGACTGCCTTTTGCCACTGAACCTATGTCCTCAAGTTTCATCCATGTTGTCATGTGTGACAGGTTTTCCTTCATTTAAAGGGTGAATGACTCCCGTTGTATCCCTTTGCACCACATTTTCCCTATCTGTGTAGCCATTGGTGGACATTTGGGTGGTCTCCACCTTTTGGTTATTTTAAATAATGCTGCAGTTAACATGGGTATGCAAATCATCTTTTCCTGATCTGGCTCTTAATCTTCTTGGATATATACCAGTGGCAGAATTGCTGGATTATGTATTGATTCTCTTTTTACTTTTAAATGGATACATATTATTTGTTCATGTTATGGGTACATGCCATATTTTGTTACACGTCGAATGTGTAATCACGTCAGAATTTTCAGGGTATCCCTAAATTAGAGTATGTATCATTTCTATGTGTTGAGGACATCCCAAGACCCCTCTCCTAGCTATTTTGAAATAGTCAATACATTGTGGTTAACTGAAATCACCTTGCTTTTCTATACAACATTAGAACTATTCCTTCTTGCTAACTGTATGTGTGTGACCATTAACTAGACTCTTCATCCCACCACCCTCTCCCCCGCAAAAACAGAAAAAAACAAAACCTCCCAGTCACTGGTAACTGTCATTCTAGTCTACCTTCCTGAGATCAACTCTGTAGCTTCCACATATAAGTGACAACACCTGATATTTGACTTTCTGTACCTGGGTTATTTCCCTTAACATAATGACCTCTCATTCCATCCATGTTGCTGCAAATGATAGGATTTCATTTTTTTAATGCTAAATAGTGTTCTATTGTGTATATATACCACATATTTAATCTATTATCTGTTGATAAAAATTAAGCATGACCACATATCTTTGTAAATAATGATACCATAAACATGCGGGTGCAGGTATCCCTTTGATATACTAATTTCCTTTCCTTTGGGTAAACACCCCGAAGTGGCATTACTGGATCATGAAGTGATTTTAATTTCAGGATTTTGAGAAATATCGGTATTGTTTCGCATGATAGCTGTACTAATTTACATTCCTAACGACAATGTATAAGCATTTCCTTTTCTCAGCATCTTCACTAGCAACTATTATTTTTTGTCTGTTTGATAATATCCATTCTAATTAGGATAAGATGATATCTTATGGTGGTTTGGATTTGCATTTCCCCAATGAAGAGTGATGTGGAGCATTTTTTCATATATCTGTTGGCCATCGGTGTGTCTTCTTTTAGAAAAGTCTATTTCCATTTGTCTGCTTCTAAATGGGATTGTCTTTCTTGTTGAGTTGTCTGAGTTACGTGTATATTCTGGTTTTTGGTCCCTTCTTAGGTAAATAGTTTGAAATTATTTTCTCCCATTCAATTTATTTTCTTGTTTGTTTAGCGAGTAGTTCATCAATTTTATTTATTTTTTTCCCCAAACCAATTTTTTTTGTTTTATTGAGTCTTTGTATTTTTTTTGTCTTTATTTCATTTCATTCTCTTCTGATTTTTAGTATTTTTCCCTTATACTAACTTGGGGTTTGGTTTGTTCTTGCTTTTCTATTATCTTATGGTGCATATCATTAAGTTTTTGTCTTTCTTTTTTTTTTTTTCTTTCTCTTGCTTTACTGCTCGGACTAGGGCTTTCAATGCTACTTAAATAGGAGTTGTGAGAATGGGTATCCTGTACTTGTTTAAGTTCTTAGAGGAAATGCTCTCAACTCTTGCACATCCATTATGATCCTGGCTGTCAGCTTGTTATAGATGAATCTTATTATTTTGAGGTATGTTCCTTTGTAACCCAGATGGTTGAGAACTTTTATCATGAAGGAACATTTTATTTTATCACATGTTTTCTTCTGTGTCTGTTGAGATGATCATGCAGTGCTTGAATTTAGTTCTATTTATGTGGTGAAACACCATCATAGATTTGCATTTGTGGAACCAACCTTGCATCCCAGATAGAAAGCCCACTTGATCATGATGAATGCTCTTTCCCATGTGCTGTTAGATGCAGTTTGCTAGCATTTTGTTGAGGATTTTGGCATCTATGTTCATTGGGCGCATAGACCAGTAGTTTTCTTTTTTTGTAGTGCCTTTGCCAGATTTTGGCATCAGGCTGACATTTGCTTCATAGATTGAGTTAGGGAGGAATGCCTCGTCCTCAATTTTTTTGAATGGTTTCATTTGGACTGGTATCAGCTCTTCCTTGTTTGTCTGGTAGAATTCAGCTGTGAATCCATCTGGTCCAAGGCTTTATTTGGTTTGTAGTTTTTTTTGTTTTTGTTTTTTACTGATGCAGTTGAGTGACTTATTATTGGATGGTTCAGGATTACAATTTCTTCCTGTTTCAATCTTAAGAGGTTGGATGTTTCCAGCAATTTATCTGCTCTCTCTAGGTTTTCTAGATTCATGCATAGAAATGCTGATAGTAGTCTCTGATAAGCTTTTGTATTTCTGTTGGATCACCTTTTTCATTTCTATTTGTACATATTTGAATTATCTATCTATCTATCTATCTATCTATCTATCTATCTATCTATCTATCTATCTATCTGTCATCTATCTATCTATCTAACCGGCATTGTATCAACACTGGTTATCCTTTCAAAAAACCAACTTTTCATTTCTTGATCCTTTGTATTTTTTTCTGTTTCAATTTTATTTACTTCTGACTTGATTTTGAGTATTTTTTTTCTGTTAGCTTTGAGTTTAGTTTGTTCTTCTTTTCTAGCCCCTGTAGCTGCAATGTTAGGTTGTTTATCTGAGATCTTTTTTCTATTTTCTTGATGTGGGCATTTAGTGCTATGAACTTTCCTCTTATCTCTGTTTTTGTGGCATCTCAGATAGTTTGGTAGGTTTTGTCTGCATTTTCATATATTTCAAAGAATTTGTTTTTAATTTCGGCCTCGATTTAGGTGTTTACCCAAAAGTAATTCATAGTCAAGTTGTTTAGTTTCTATATATTTGTGTGACTATGAGAGTTTCTCTTGGTATTGATGTCTATGTTTATTCTGCTGTGGTTAGAGAATATGCCTGATATAATTTTGATTTTCTGGAATTTTTAAAGACTTTTTTTGTGTAAGTTTGTGGTCCATCTTAGAAAATATTCCATGTGCAGAATAGAAGAATGCTTGTTATGTGGTTGTTGGTTGAAGTATTCTAGAGATGTCTGTTATGTTCAGTTAGTCAAGTGTTTAAGTTCTGAATTTCTTTGTTCGTTTTCTGCCTTGATGTTCTGTCTAAATACGTTAGTGTGGTGTTGAAGTCCTTACTACTAAAAGGTTGCTGTCTAAGGCTTCCCTTAGGTCTAGTCGTAATTGTTCTATATATCTGGATGCTCCAATGTTGGGTGCATATATATTTAGTATGATTAAGACTTCTTGTTCATTGTCCCTTTATCATTATGCAGTGCCTTTCCTTGTCCTTTTCTACTATTGCTGGCTTCAAATCTGATTCATCTGATATAAGAATGGTGATCCCTGCTCCTTTTCCATTTTCTATTGTATGGTAAATCTTTTTCTATCCCTTTACCTTAATATCATATATTGTTAGATGTGAAATGAGTCTTCTGAAGAAAACAACAGGATAGGTCTTGGATTTGTATGCAGTTTCCACTTTATGTCTCTTATGTGGGGCATTTAAGTCATTGATTTTCGAGGTTACTATTGATATGTGGGCTTTCTTTTCCTGTCATAGTGTTGCCAGCTAGTTGCTTTATAGTCTCAGACTGTGGTTACTTAAGGGTTCATGGGCCATGTAGTTATGTGTGCCTGTGTATTAAGAGGTATTGTTCTTTATTTCCATGTTCAGAACTCTCTTAACCATCTCTTGTAGGGCAGGTCTGGTGTGAAGAATTCTTTAGTGAATACTTGCCTAGGAAGCTTTGTTTGACAGGGTTAGAAATTCTTGTCTGGAATTTCTTCTCTTAATAATGCTAAAAATGGGACCTCATTCTCCTTTGGTTTTTCAGGTTTTTGCTGAGAAGTTCGCTGATAATCTGATGGGTCTCCCAGATGAGTGTCATGGCCCTTCCTTCAAGCTGCATTTAAGAATTTGAAAAGTGTAATGACTATGTATCCTGGAGGTTGTCACCTCACATACTGTCTCATAAGAGTTCTCCTAATTTCTTGTATCTGGATGTTGATCTCTCTAACAAGATTGCAGAAGTTTTATTTGATTGTTCTCAAATTCTTTTTCTGGGTTGTTTCCAGTCTGTTCTCTCTCAGGAATGCCAATTAGTTGCATGGGTTTTTTTTTTTTCCTCTTTACAAAATCCCATAGTTTGTGTAGGCTTTGTTCATTTTTTTGCCAAATCTTTTAAATTTATTTTTGTTTGACTGTGCTGATTTGAAGGATTGGTTTTCAAGGTCTGAAGTTCTTTCTTCTGCCTGGCCTACTGTGCTCCGAGGCTCACAACTATATTCTGAAATTCCTGAAGTGAATTCTTCAATTCCAGAAGTTCGGTTTGGTTATTTCTTACTATGACCGTTTTCTCTTTGAATTCTTGGATTATTTTCCTGGCTTCTTTGTTTTGGATTTCCGCGTTCTCTTGTCTCTCACTGAGTTCCTATTCCATCCATATTCTCAATCCTGTGTCTGTCTGTCATTGTGGACATTTCATTCTAGGAGCCGTTGCTGGGGAGCTGGTGTGATCTTTTGGAGGAATTGAATTACTCTGGCGTTTGGTATTTCTGGAGTTCTTACACTGATTTCTTCTCATCTGGGAGAGCTGACTTTTTTCCTTTTTTGGAATTCGCTATCTTGGGATTAGGCTTCCTGAGATTTTCTTCTTTTCCTTGTGGATTGACTGTGGTGTGTATTGTGTAGAGTGATCTTCCTTGTCTAGTCCCCTCCCTGACCCACAGGCAATAGAGATGGGGGCAGTGTCAGTGGCATCTGGGAGGGGCCAGACAGCTAGCTCTGGGAGTTGGGCCCTCACGGAGCTCCGAGTGGCAGTCTTCAGGCGGGAGTGGGGAGGCTGAACCATCCGGAGGCCCAGTGGGAGGCAGAAATGCCCCAGCTGGCACGGAGTCATGGAGATGCCCTACCTCCCCCGTTTCCTCCCTGGCCTGCCTGTGGCAGGGGCGGAGGCAGTGGTGGCGGAGGCTGCAACGGCGCAGACCTTATCCGCGACCCCCGGAATTCAAGTCGCGGCTGCAGGGTTCAGGCGGGGGCGGGGCGGGGGCGGTGGGGACCTGTCTGTGAGCAGGTGAGCCCCATTTGGCAGGGAGCCGCGGAGGCGGGGGGCGCCGGCATGTTGTCTGCTCGTTTCTTCTTCCCTGGCTGAGGTGTCTGACCCGGGGCTGCACGAAAGCGCCAGCCCGGCTTCCCGCGGGGCGGCGGCAGCCGGGGCTGGACGGCTCAGAGCAAGAGCCCGCGGGGCTCCACGGGGCCCGAGCAGTGCCCTGTCCAGACACCAGGGGGCGCCTGCATCTGATGGAGACCGGGGCGGGGGCAGAGGGGAGAGATTTCCCAGACTCGGGTTGCAAAGTCCTGGCAGAGGCCTGGAAGCCCAGGGCTTCTCTTCCGGAAAACTCCTTCCCCGCGTTAGGATCCTCTTGCATCTCCAGCCGGAGCCGGCTCTGCGGGCTGCCGGCCTCGCTCCCCTCCACGCTTCGAGGCTCCCGGGGCTTCTCTGGTGGATTCAGCTGCTTCCCAGACGGTCCACCCGTGAACAATTCTCCCTCGCTGTTTCAGTCCCTCCCGTGAGAGAGGAGACCACCAGCTGCTTCCAGTCCGGCATCTCCAAGCAGAACAGTACCACTCTCACAAAGTATTACATATTTAAGGAAAGAATGAATGAAGGAGATTTCAACAAAATGCACGTGGGATGAATGGAGGAAGGACCTCAGGGGCGACCTTCCTGGCCTCTCTCTGACTTACCCTAACTCCGTGTTTCTGCTCTGATCTCTTCCTCCCCCCTTTCTCTCTCTTCACTCAGGGTCCTCTGACTGAATCTCACGTGGAGGACAACTCCCCAGCCCAGTCTTCTCCAGCTGTGGTGGCCTCCACTGAAAAGGACCAAGAACTCCAGTATGCATCCATCACCTTTGATATGAAACCTCGGGTCCCTCACGGCCAGGAGGCCCTCGGCAGCGAGTACTCGGAGATCAGGATCCACAAGTGAGAGGCTGTCGAGCCTCTGCCCTGGGGGAGGCATCACGGCCTCTCCAGGCAGAGGGCCAGGCAGAAGCCGACTCCCGTGGAATTAAAAGCCCTTTCAGCAGTACACCATAAGTGCACTGAAAGGAACACTGGCTTGGGAATCACAGCGCTTCAAATCTGAATGCATACTTTGCCCCTTTGTTTAGTAAGTGACAGATTCCTACCTCTCTGTACCTCAGTTTCCTTCTCTATAAAACAGGAACAGGAAGCCCTACCTGGAAGGCTGTGGTGAGCATTACAGGAGTGAAATCCCGTGAGAGCTCCTGGTACAGGGTGTAGACTGAGCACACATTGGATTCCTGTGCCCAGACAAAAAAACCCCGCTGGGAATGTCCCCTGACTCTGGAGGTGACCAGAAATGATATGTCTGTGCCACTTGCCTGCAAATAGCTGTTCCACATCTTTCCAGGAAGTGATCACAGCCTGAGAGTCAGGTGCATTCGACACCTGGACCTGCCCACCTCTTCAACCTCATCTCTTTTCCTTTGATCTCTGGGCCTCCTGGATCACCATAGTGTGTGCACCTTGTGTAGGCTAAGGAGAAGGTATCATTTGGACACACAGAGCTCCCTGTTCTGCTCACAGACCCTCCATGGCTCCCAGGACCTAACTAGCCCATCATGGTCTCCTCATGAGATCACTCCTCCCGCTCCTCCATCCTCTAGGGGATGGACAGTGAGAGGACAACATGGGATGGGCAGATCCATGAGGCTGAGTGTCATGAAACAAATGACAATTTTCCATTTGTACAACTTTCCTGTACAAAGTCTTCAGGAAAACACGTGCAAATTTATGGAAATAACAGCTGCATGCTCAGATGACATAGAAAACTACATAGAAAAACAAGAAGACAATTAACATTAAAGTGAGACTCGGGGCTCCTTCAAGAGGGACTGGGGCATAGCCCATAGGTAGTGGGATGCAAAGGGATAAATAAATGAATGAAATTTCCTTCATCTCAAGAAAGAGACTTGAAAATTCTCTTGTGATGTTCTATGTCTCGGAGGGTGATTATCTTCTGTAAATCACTGAGTTGCTTTTGGGGGGCACGATAACTCTGTGTCTTATATATTCCCCCAAAAACCTGGGTCTAAGGAGGCCCCACCTTCCAGGATCCCCCTTTCTCTCAGCCCAGCTACACAGTTAAAAACAATCTGCTGTTGAATTCGGTGGTGTGTTTCTCCTCCCATGAAGTCCTGACACCTGTGAAGGGACAGCCTCAAAGCTGGTGTCCTTGCTCCAAGTCTCCCATCTACCTGTGCTCATTCCTGGGACAGAACCTGCCAGAGAAAAGCTGTGGGGGTGACAGACCTGACATGCTCTGGGGTGAAAAGGGGACATGTGTGTGTGTGACCTGACAGAGTGAATGAAATCCACATTCCCAGAGAGCTGCGATGTGAAAGAAATGTCTACCTCTTTAAAAACCTGTCCTTTCCCTCTGACTCCCTTCCCTTCAAATCCTACCTAGCAACAGTCACAGCCTCAGGTTCCCAGACCTCCTGTGAGCCAGGCTCCCCTGGTGCCCATGGTGTGTGTTGACACATGGAACTCTCAGCTCCACAGCCCCATAACCCCTGCTCGGTCCTCCTGAGACCTGTCCCCAACCTAAGGGAGAGTTCCTTAACTTGCCTGCGCATGCCCCACAGAAGATTTTGACATGGGAGCTCAGACATCAGGAGACTTGGTTCAGTGACTCCTGGGGGACAGTGTCCGAGTCTGGTGGTTGACCTTGTTGTGTGGAGAGGGGATGCCCACCTCATGGAGAATGAGGAAGTGAGGAGAGGCTACTGCTTACCCTTCTGGGGCCCCACCTCTCCTTTCCTTGAGATCCTTCCCCTGAAATTTGCAACTGTTAATGGCCTGTGACTCAAGATACTGGCCAGAGGGGCACCATTCTGACTTTGCAGAAAATGTCACCAGACAGGAAGTGTGAGTCAGGAAAGTAGGACATGTGGGTTGGACACAGCATGGAGTATAAATGTGGACTTGTCTCTGGCTCTCTCTGGTTCCCCAGGAGTGGGGGTGGGGTGGGGGATGGTTGATCTCCTAGGGCTGACCCAGCCCTGACAGCAACTGGGTCTGAAGTTCCTCCTCTGAGGAGGTCACTGTTCTGGCCTCACCCCCATCTTCCTGTGGGGCCTCCTCTGAGTCTTGAGCTCTTAGTTCCTGAAAGAAGAACCCTGAGGATGAGGTTTTGCCTGGTGGCCCTGGCACCTCCCACCCCAGACATGCTTGTGCTGCTGCTGCCCCTGCTCTGGGGGATGGAGGGGACAGAGGGACAGGGACAGTTCGGAAATGGTTACATGGTGAGTGTGCAGGAATCTGTGACGGTCCAGGAGGGCCTGTGTGTCTCTGTGCCCTGCTCCTTCTCCTACCCCCAGGGTGACTGGACTGACTCTGACCCACCTTATGGCTACTGGTTCCGGGAAGGAGCCAAGACAGACTGGGATGCTCCAGTGGCCACAAACAACCCAGCTCGAAAAGTGCAGGAGGAAACCTGGGGCCGATTCCATCTCCTCGGGGACCTGTGGACCAACAATTGCTCCCTGAGCATCAGAGACGCCAGGAGAAGGGACCAGGGGACATACTTCTTTCGGATGGAGAGAAGACGTGTAAAATGGAGTTACAATTTCTACCTGCTCTCTGTGTATGTGATGGGTAAGGCACAGACTCCTGGAATGGCCATAGGGGAAGGTCATGGGGCTGCAGAGCAGGGATGGGATGGGATCCCTCTCCTGGGAGGGGGTTGGGGTGAAGCATGTTGGGTTCAGAGAGGAGCTGGACCAGAGCTGGGCTTCTCTCAGAGTCACTCCCTCCTGATCCTGTGTGTCCCCCTCTCTTCACCAGCCCTGACCCACGTGCCCACGTCCTCATCCTACTCTGACCTTGTTATTGATGACCCCTGAGGTTGGACACCCCTTCCTAGCTAAGGGTTGTCCTGTGCTCAACAGATGTGCAGCGTCAAGGCCTCTATGCACCAGATACCAGTGGCACCACTGCGCCCCAACCCAGTGTGACAGTAGAAACTGTCCCCACACGTTGTCAAATGGCCTTGAGGGTAGAATCTTCCCCAATTGCGACCCTTAGGTCTAGACAACACCATGACACTCTGGTAGGTCAGAAAGGGACCATTCCTGGTGCAAAATCAGGGGCCCCAGAGGCATCTCAGCCTGAGGAGCAAGACCCTTAGATCATGGACCTGTCCACCCTTCATGTCCTGGAGGTCCTCAGGGATCCTTGTTGAGCCCCTTAAAGACAGGAGGAAGTTTCGTGGGGATCCACTGATCTGTCATGCAGGGACCCATGTGTTTGCTCTGGGCTCTGGTGTTCCAAGGAAGCTCAGAATTGGGGGGTGGGACGTGGTCTCTTCTCCTCTGCTCCCTTCTACATGGGTCTCTGGGGTCTCTGGGCCTTGGGGTTTCTCTCCTTTCTGTGTAGAGGAGGATGAGTTCTGACCATGTGTGAGTTGAGGCTCCTCTTCTGTGAATCTCCAAGTTCTCCTGCTCTTCCCAGCCCCCGTGGGTCCCCAGCCCTCCGTCTCCACTCGCTCACCTTCTCTGCTCACACAGGGAGCCCAAGAACCCCCACCTCAGAGATGCTGCTGCTGCTGTGGCAGACAAAGAGAGGGCCCGTAGGGGCTGGGGCAGAAGTGACCCTCATTGACCCTCATTTCCCCACAGGGCAGCCAACTCAGGATCCAAGATTCCAGCTGGAAGTGCCCAAGTTGGTGACGGTGCAGGAGGGTCTGTGTGTCTTCGTGCCCTGCAGGGTGTTCTACCCTGACTGCTGGACTGACTCTACCCCAGCTCATGGCTACTGGTTCCAAGAAGGGGCCGATATATACAGAGACCCACCCGTGGCCACAAACAACCCAGCTCGAGAAGTGCTGAAGGAGACCCAGGCCCAATTTCACCTACTTGGGGACCCCAGGAACAACAACTGCTCCCTGATCATCAGAGATGCCAGGAGGACAGACCAGGGGACATACTTCTTTCGAGTGGAGAGAGGAAGCATGAAAAGAAACTACACTTATCACAAGTTTTCTGTTCATGTGACGGGTAAGGCACAGGCTCCAGGAGTGACCACAAGTGGTCAGGGGGCCACAGGGCAGGGCTAAGATGGGATCCCTGTCCTGGAAGTGGGTTTGGGGTGAAGCATGCTGGGCTCAGGGGAAGAGCTGGACCAGAGCTGAGTTTCTCTGAGGGACACACTTCGCACCCTCCCTCCTGATCTTGGGGTGTCATGCTCTCCTTGCCAGATCTAACTCCCGATATTCTCATCCCGGAGACCTGGGAGTCTGGTCGCCTCTGGAACCTGACCTGTTCTGTGCCCCAGGCCTGTGAGCAGAGGATGCCTCTAATGATCTCCTAGATAGGAGACTCCATGGCCCCCCTGAGCCCCACTAGCACCACCTCCTTAGTGCTCCCCCTCATCCCGCAGCCCCAGGACCATGGTACCAGCCTCACCTGTCAGGTGAGCTTGCCTGTGGCTGGTGTGACCACAATGAGGACTGTCCATCTCAATGTGTCCTGTGAGAGCTGGGCCCAGGTCCCTGATGGGGAGGAGGGTTCCCTGAGGGCAGCAGGATAGGAGTTAGGGCTGGACACTGGGTGCTGGGCCCTAGAATCTGGACTGGGAGTAGGGGGTCAGCAGGATGCTGGCTCCACCTTCCTGGTCTATGCAGCTCCCAGGAGAGAGGGCCAGTGTCCACCACCCCTACAATGATGCTGATCTGCTGTGTCTTTTTGTCCAGATGCTCCTCAGATCTTGACCGTGACTGTCTTCCGAGGAGATGACACAGGTAGGAAAGTGCCCCCTCCCTGGGTGGGGGAGCCCCTTCAGCTCAGGGCAGGACTTTTCCTCATTCAGGACTCTTCTGGTAACCAGAAACTTCCTGTGGGTGAACCTAGGGGCCCTCCCTACCCTCAGCCCCTGTGGCCCCCAGAGCATCTGCCCTATTCATTCTTACTCCCCTCCAACTCCTCCACACACATTCCCCTTGGCTTACAGCAAGGACAGGGTGACATTCACATAGCAGGACCAACCTCCAGAGCCTCCTCGTCCATCTCCTGAACTTGTCTCATGCCCTGACTTTTTCCTTTCCCTAGTAGTTCTGACCTAAGTCCTTCTGGATAGACGACGGAGTCACGTGGCTAAAGTTGAAAACACACAGCAGAGTCTGTTCCCAGATGCCTGTCCTCCTCCCTTGTCCATCCAGGCTGCTGTGAGCCTTGGCGTGTTCACCTGAAGGATCTCACAGGTCGTTTGACATCAGTGGGACAGACTGTCCTCACCCTCCTCCAGGACCACGTGGTGTCCATGGAACAGATGGATCCTGATTCTGTGGCCATCTTCTCCTCATGGAGAGTCAGGGCCTTAACTGTGTTCTACCACAGACACTCTGCAGTGAATAATCTTGTATATCTTTTTATAAATATGTGTGGAGCTGGGGAATTAATGTCCTAAATGGAAAAGAGCTGGGTCATTATTCTTTCAGGAGAGAGGAGGGCACATAGATCTCTGTGGAGGATGGACGAGTTTCCGTCCCAATGGGGAAGGTGACGTGTGAGGGTCTCCCCAGTCTGTGTCCTGTCGCTAAACTCTAACCCCGCTCCTGCCCTGCAGGTCTATTAACTTTCCTATGGATGAATTCCAATCTGGGTCATCTTTGCACTCTATGTTCCTTCTTTTTGAAATGCCCTTACATCCCTCACCATCCTGCGACCCTGTGTACCTAAGGCATGAATCAGATGTGCCTCCTCCAGGAAGACATTCTGGACTACAACATTTACACGGTCCCATTCCATTATCATCGTCATCCCTCAGGGTGGCACAGTCTGCATCATCGCCTTCACATGTCATGTGATCTTGTAAGCTCTGTTCCTGGGTTCCCATGCCCCATCAGAATCGGAGTTTCTAGAAGCGAGCCCCACTCAGAAGCACAACGATAAATAAACTGAAGTCTCAAGAAGAGGTGGATGAAGAAGAGGAATGATCAGGGTGAACCTGAATTCTAGTTGTCAGCAAGAATGGTGGGATAAGAGCCTGAACTGACATCTTACCTGGGTTCCAGTGGGCCCAAGACCCTCCTTCTGTGATTTCCTGGTCATGTTTCAAGCTGCACACGGCCCAAAGCACAGAGACGAATCCACACGACCCTACCATAGATTCTGGGGTCTGACCAGGCTCTGACTCCTGCTCTCTCCCTCCCTGGGTCCCTCTCCCAGAGCCTCTGACGCTGTGGGTCTGAATCTGTTCCTCTCCTCCGGCTTCAGTGTTCTTCTCCTTTCTCTCCATCTCCCTGTCTCTCTGACTCTCTGTCTCTCTCTCTTTTGACAGCAGCCACAGTCCTGGGGAATGGCTCATCTCTCTCAGTCCTGGAGGGCCAGTCTCTGCGCCTGGTCTGTTCCATTGACAGCAACCCCCCTGCCAGACTGAGCTGGACCCGGGGTAGCCTGACCCTCAGCCCCTCACAGCCCTCGAACCCTGGGGTGCTGGAGCTGCCCCGCGTGTACCTCAGGGATGAAGGAGAATTCATCTGCCGAGCTCAGAACGCTCTGGGCTCTCAGCATGTGTCCCTGAGACTCTCCCTGCAGAGTGAGTGCCAAGGGGCTGCACACCAGACCCTTCCCAATGACCTTCAGCTCCCAGGTCTCTGAGCAAGCCCCACCCTGGGGTCAGTGGGGAATTGGGTGTGTTCAGCTCAATCTCACATGCAGCCATGGGGCCTGGATTCCCACTGGCCCAGAGCCCTCTTTTTACTGCCTGACATGCTTGAGAGGGGGTGGGATGAGGCCTGGACTGATCGTACCCCACATCCAGTGATGCAGGAAGGGTCTGAAGACCCCATGTCCCAGTAAGAGAAGAAGCACCCAGGATTGTGGTTTAGCAGGTGAATCAGCCTCATCCCGGTTTTCGGCAGGGAAACCAGAGCCCTGGGCAGAGGTGCTGCTGGTGGCCCTCGGGGAGGCGGCTGTGAAGATCCTGCTTCTCTGTCTCTGCCTCATCTTCCTCAGGTGAGCACTGCCCCAGGGACCGGGGGAGGCTCATGAAGGACAGGGGACATAACACTGAGTATGAGTCCCAGGGTTGGAAGTAACAAGTTGAGCCAGGAAGGAGGCGGAGTTGTAGTGAGAATCCACACCGGCCAATTGCTGTCTGTCCCTGACTCTGGCCAAGGGTCCAGGGTGGGGAAGTTCCTGCTCTCCTCAAGAAAGTTTTGTGAGCTAGACCTGCTCTCTCTACCTTGTTCTCTTCCTGCCCTTTAGCAGGGCACAGGGTAGTGATTCTGCTGCCCTCTAACCCCGATCTGGTCACACTGACAGTCTCTGGTCTCTTCACTCAGAGTGAGGTCCTTCTGGAGGAAGACGGAGCAGGCAGCAGTGGGAGTGGAAGATGCAAACACCGTCAAGGGTTAATCTCTCAGGTGAGCATCGTGGGTGTCTCACCATCCAACATCCCTCTGGATGCCTTTCCCAGGGATCTCCAGGGTTGCTCTGCTCAGCATGACTGAAGTTGAGCCGCCCATCCTCCTTCCAAAACATGGTGGCCTCATCTCTAAAGCCAGAACCAGGTGTGTTCCTCACCTTGAACTCCCTCCCCCAGATCGCATTCATCACTGATTCCCACCGCTCCTTCTCTTAAGTACAGCCCCCTTAGTGCCCTCTTCTGTATCCTGTCCCTGGTCATTTCTGCGGCCTCACCTCTTCCCTGGTCACTAACCCCCCACCCTTCCTGCCTCCCTTTCTCCTCAATGCAGGCCTGCAGACTGTGCTTCCAGATGCCTCCTCAGCCAGGTCCCCCACAGTCTGAAAGGCCGTGTTTCCTCCATTGCTGGAGAGCGAGGTGCCACTGCCACCGCCTGGACTGAGGGCCACACACGGTTTGTCCCCCACTGAATTCTGCTCCCAGGTAATGTGCAAATGACCAAATCACACAGGGGAAAATGCTCAACATCGTGAGTTATGTGAGAAGTGCACATCGAACCTACAAAGGAGATACTTCTTCACATCCATTCGGAGAGCTGTGAAAAAAAAAATCAAAGATAAAGGAAACAGAATTTTTACTTGTTTACAAGGATGTGGAGAAATTGGAGTATTTTCCCCACTGCCTGTGAAAAGGTCTTGCCTATGGAAGACTTAATGTTCCCTCAAAAAGTAAATGAGGAATCATCATGTAATCCCTATCATTCACTCCTGTGTCTTTTCTCAAAGGAATTGACACCACAGACTTCAAGAGATCCACGACCACCATGCACAGCTTGTCACTACAGCAGCCACTGTGGTGGATCAACCCATGTCCCTGGATGGAGAACGGATACACTGAAGGGGCTATGCTCATGGAACGGAATCTTTTCCATCCTTGCAGGGGACGGAATGGAATTTGGATACATGCTCCAAACGACTGAACTTTGGAACAATATGTGAAGTGAAAGAAGCCTGACCTGAGCCCTCACAATTGTATGATCCTGCTTATAATACCAGCCTAGAATTGGCAATCCACTGGAACAGAAAGTAGCATGTGGTCCAGAGGCTGAGGACAAGGCGAGGACGAGGAGTGTTGTGCAACAAGGGCCGAGTTTCTGTTTGTGTTGATGCGTAAGTTCTGAAAATACATTGTGGTGATGGTTGCACAACAACGGGAATGTGCTTAATGCCACTGAATTGTACCTTCTGGAATGTTACAAATGACAAATTATAGGGCACATATATTTTACTAACATTTTTAAAGAATATAAAAATTATGTTTCATCAAGGTTTTGTCATACTGCAGCCAAATAATAATAATAATAGTAATAATAATAATAAATAATGAGAGCCTGTGGAATGGTGACATGTGCTTGGAGACAAATTATGCAGGAAAAAGACCTTGAGATAGATTGGGGACAGTTTCTGGATCAGTGAATGTGAGGAGGTAGTGTTTGGGTAAAGATGAGGAGGAGGTGAGGAAGCAGGCTCTGTGTCTGCTGAAGAGAAGAACCCCCAGAGGGAGGGAAGAGGGGAACAGGAGTGTAGTGTTCAGAGGTAGCAGCAGGCCTGGGAGCTGTGGACACACTCAGAGACCTGTATCTGATAGCAGAGGGAGGCAGGAGGAGGGAGTAGTGGGGAGAATGGTGGAGACTATGTGTGGCCCTAAGACCATGCAGAAACCTGGAGCCCTGGGGAGAGCAGAGATGTGACTGAACTTTCCCTGTAAGAGGATCCCATAGCTGCCCTGGTCAGAACAGGCCTGAGTGATTCACTGCAGTCACAGAGATGGGAGAGTTCCACTGGATCCTCCAGGATGAGGGATGGAGGCTTGAGCCAGGGAGGCAGGGTTGGGTGGGGACACATTTTGGATTGTGTGTAGAAGGGCAAGCTCACAAAACTTTCTAACAGTGTGGTGAGTGAGGGGAAGATAAGGAACGGATGATGGCAGAATTTTGCCCTGAGCACTTGGTAGGAGCTGTCCACAGAGGACGTTAGAGGGAGGGCTTTGCTGGAGGATGTTAATTCTGAGAATCTCTCTGACATCCAAATGGAGACAGGAGGGAGACAGCTGGATGTAAATGTTTGGATATCAGGAGTGGGACCAGCCTGGAGATGTTGAGAGTATACTGCCTATAATAGCATATAACCTTTAAATAGTTGCCCCCTTATCAGAGCCTTTGATTTCTGTGGTTTCATTTCCTATGGGATAGTACACTGACATATTTTAATTGAGGAAGAACATATTCACATAACTTTATTAATAATACCTAGTTATCATTGTTTTATTTTATCATTAGTTATTGTTGTTACTCTTTACCATCTCAAACTTATAAATTAAAGTTTATCAACCATTCCTATTCAACATAGTACTGGGAGTCCTAGCCAGAGCAATCAGGCAAGAGAGAGAAATAAAGGGATCCAAAGTCCTTTTCAGTACAAGGAGGTTTTTGACCAAATTCTCTTGGATTTTCAAGGTACACAATCATGTCGTCTGCAAAGAGAGATAACTTGACTTCCTCTTTGGATATCCCTGATCACCTTCTCTTTTCTGATTGCTCTAGCCAGGACATCCAATACTATATTGAACAGGAGGGGTGAGAGTGGGCATCCTTGTCTTGTTCCAGTTTTCAAGAGAAATGGTTCCAATTTTTGTCTGTTTAGGAGTATGCTGGCTGTGGGTTTCTCGTAGATGGCTTTTACTATTTTGAGCTATGTTCCACGTATGCCTAGATGTTTGACAGTTTTTATCAAGAAGGGGTACTGTACTTTATCAAAAACTTTTTCTGCATCTAATGATATAATCATGTGGTTTTTGTTTTGACATCTGTTGATGTATTTAATTACATGTATGGTTTTACGAATGTTGAACCAGATTTGCATCCCAGAGATGAAGCCTATTTGGTCATGATGGATGATTTTTGAGATGTGATGTTGAATCCGCTTTGCTAGGATCTTGTTGAGAATTTTAGCATCTATATTCATCAAAGATATTGGCCTGTAGTTCTCTTTCTTTGTTGGGTCTTTACCTGGCTTGGGTTTCAATGTGATGTTAGCTTCATAAAATGATTTGGGGAGAGTTCCATCTTTCTCAATCACCTGGAATACTTTCAGTAGTGTTGGTATCAGCTCCTCCTTAAATGTCTTATAGAATTCTTCTGGAAAGCCATCTGTTCCAGGGCCTTTTTTTTTGTAGGTAGTTTTCTTATTACACAGTCAATTCCTGGATTGCTGTTGGTCTATTTAGGGTCTTGATTTCTTCTTGTTTCAACCTAGGCAGGTTGTGTGATGTCAGAAAGTCCTCCATTTCCTTAAGGTTTTCAAGTTTGTTTCTATACAAGTGTACATAGTAGTCTCTAATGATCTTTTGTATTTCTTCAGGGTCAGATGTGACTTCATTTTTTGTGTTTCCAGTTTACTTGGAGTTTTGTTCTCTTTTTCTTGGTCAGTCTAGCTAGGGGACCATCGATCTTATTTATCCTTTCAAAGAACCCTAACCCTAACCCTAACCCTAACCCAAAGATGACACAAACATATGGAAAAATATTCCATGCTCATGGTTTAGAAGAATCAACATTGTGAAGATGTCTATCTTACCTAAAGCAATCTACAGATCTAATGCAATACCCATCAAATTACCAGTAACATTCTTCTCAGATCTAGAAAAAACAGTACAGGAATTCATATGGAAACACAAACGACCAAGAATAGCCAGAACAATCCTCAGCAAAAAAAAAAAAAAAAAAAAAAACAAAGCAGGAGGTGTCACACTACCAGACTTTAAACTTTACTATAAAGCTACAATAATCAAAACAGCTTGGTAATTGTACAAGAACAGGCATATAGACCAATGGAATAGAATTGAGATTCCAGAAGCAAAACCTCAATTTCTCAACCAACTCATCTTTGACAAAGCCTCCAACAACAACCACCGGGGAGAGGACAATCTATTCAGTAAATGGTGCTGGGAAAACTGGCTGACCACATGCAGAAGATTCAAACAAGACCCCTATCTATCCCCATACACAAAAATTAACTCTAAATGGATCATAGACCTAAATGGAAAACCTGAAACCATAAGAACTTTAAAAAATGCAGGACACACCCTTATGGAAGTTGGAACTGGCATCCAATTCCTGAGCAAAACCCGAAATGCACGGGCCATAAGAGATAAGATAGACAAGTGGGACCTCATCAAACTGACAAGCTTCTGCAAAATCAAAGAAACCATCAAGAGAGCAGGGAGAAAGTCCACAGACTGGGAAAAATATTTGCCAACTCCATGTCTGACAAAGGCCTAACATCTAGGACCTACAAGGAACTCAAACATGCTGAAAAGAAAAAAACAAACAACCCCATTACAAAGTGGGCAAAAGACATGAACAGACACTTCTCAAAAGAAGACATGATACATGAAGAAATGTTCAACCTCACTAGTCATCAAGGAAATGCAAATTAAAACTACACTGAGATACCACCTAACTCCAGTCAGAATGGCCATTATCAATAACAGAAAATAACAGATGCTGGAGAGGATGTGGTGAAAAGGGAACACTTCTACACTGTTGGTGGGAGTGTAAACTAGTGCAGCCTCTGGGGAAATCAGTGTGGTGATTCCTAAAAGCTCTAAAAATCTACCTTCCATATGACCCTGCAATCCCCCTACTGGGAATATACCCTGAAGAACTCAAATCACTCTATAGAAAAGATACCTGCACACGTATGTTTATCACAGCATTGTTCACAATAGCAAGATCATGGAACCAACCATAAGGCCATCAAAAGAGGACTGTATTTTAAAAATGTGGTACATATACACAATGAAATATTACGCAGCCATAAAAAAGAACAAAATCATGAATTTCGCAGCAACCTGGATGGAATTAGAGTTTATAATACTGAGGGATCTCTCACAGAAACAAAGATCTGACTATCACATGTTCTCACTCATAAGTGGACCTTGAACAACTATCATAATACTATAAGTAAAGGATTGACAGTGGCGGGAAACTATGAGGGGGCAGAGAGGGGAAGGGAGGTGGGATTAACGGTAGTCAATATCTGTCTGGAGATGGGGAGGGGCACACCTCATCAACAAGGGTACCTGCACAATGCATATTTGTATACCTAACCCTTAACTGTACCCCACAATTTTAAAATAAAAAATATGTTTAAAAAGATAGTAGAAAACATTAAAAGAAAGAAAAATAAAGGGTATCCAAATTGGAAAAGAAGACATCACACATATGCATGCTGATAATATGATCTTATACATATAAAATGTAAAAGATTCCTCCAAGTACTTCTGAACTTGATAGATGAATAGAGTGAACTT